GGAAAGCTATATGCTTCCACTATCGTTCACGAATGAACTTTGCGGGCGAAGCAGATAGCTTTCGTGTGCCAGGCTTTTGGGATGACTAATCTTTTTCGAACCTCTAGTAACGCACCCTTCGTCCTGAAGGGAGTAAGCAGTTTGTGAGTGTTAAAATCTACCGGTAGTTATCAAAACGAGCTCTCCCGTAAGCTTGAATTTGGGGAAAGGTTGGGCGACAGGTTAAGGAAATTCTTAAGATTGGAGCTAGAGCAGGAAAATAGAATACAAATAAAGGATTTTCAGTCTTTCGAGATAATTAAAATAAATTGCCTTTTATTATCTCGCATTGTCTTATTTGAAATATTATGCTGAAGTCAAGATAGTACACAAACTAATGGAAATATGTTTTTATTTAACACTTTAAAGTCCCAAACCTTGCTATTTCAGTATACTTTTTCACGCATTATCCAGATTAAGGATGCTAATTAAGACTATATAAAATTATTAAACACTTAATAATAATAATTATTTAACACTTTAAAGTCCCAAACCTTGCTATTTCAGTATACTTTTTCACGCATTATCCAGATTAAGGATGCTAATTAAGACTATATGAAATTATTAAAGTTTGAGTTGATTCACTGCATATTAATTTTCTTTGCTGCTTAAAATCAAGAACACAGGAAGTCGATTAATTTCAGTTAAAAAGTAAAAAGTAAAGCACAGACAAAACGGAACTTCAATGAATAGCGGTAACCTCCAGTTTGCAAAGAAAATTAATAACAACATTAGAGCTACAAGCAGAATTCAACCACCTTAGGTTTGTGCGTGCACAGAATGCTGTATCCATGATATACATCTCAAGTCTCTGTACCCTGTGCACTCAATATCTCTTAATTACTCGCTACCCTTCCAATTATGTGTACTTGGTATTTATTTTGTGAGATTTATTTCCATGGGAGGAGTATGATCAAACACAATTATTAATAAGTCGTAAAAACCGTTGAAAAAACCAAAGGTGGTGACTTTTTCTTTTTCTTACTTGACAATCTTCACAGTTTTAAGTTCCTTCTGGGGTAGCCTTAAGAAGAAAAGTGTTCATTTGAAACCACTGCTCAGAGAGGGAACTCTTCCTTTTCAAGTTTTTTTTCTCCTGAACCGGTAAACCCAGACTTTGCTCACTCAAACAGTTCTGTGAAGGAGTTGCTCCTCCCCTTATTCCATGTGCTCATCCACGTGGAACACATGAATCAGCAGAACATCAAGAAACTGCCTGTACACAAATCAATGCAACATTTGAAGATTTTCTCCCCAAATAAGGCCACGTAAAAAATGGTGATCATCCCCGCCTGACCCTCCAAAATTCCTCCGACGCACTTTGTTTTTATATATTCCCCCAAAACAGGGGGGAAATGATTCCAACCTTACCCTTCGGTCTGAGAATTCGTGCATTCCCATTTCTTTGTTTTTCATTGGTTTTTAGTCTTAATACATAGTATAAATACACGTACAAGGTTCCTGTTATAATAAGGTAATAGATAAAGCCCCGAGAACCTCTTAATATCAGCGTTCAACTGTATAGTATTTGTATCCTGCATAGAATTTCCATCATTTAAACACATGTGGACATTACTCACACATACACAAAAAACAACAAAACTCCACCTCCCCTTACCTTCCATTTATGGGCAAAAAGGATGATCACCCTTTTTTTTTTTTACATGGCATAACATCGACTTTTTCTTACGACCATATAAATTCTCACTAGCATAAAAACCACAAGGGCACCCAGGATATCTTCATGAAGCAGAACAAGAATTGAATATGAGACAATCACAAACTATTGAATACAAAAAAAGTATCAAAAACCGTTGTCGCACAAACAAAAACTTCATTGCATAGACCCAATGAGGACAATTTCAAGGGCACCTTCAGTGGTCAAGTTTTTTGGTAATATCCATCACTGATTCAGCCATAGCTAGCTGCTTCTGTTCATGCCTAAGGACTATCGCAGTTTGGTGGAACGTTCCCTGTGAAAGGAAGAGACAATTTCCAATTTACAGGGAAAGAACTGCATGGAAGTGGCTTTGATTCGACGACTGCCAATTTCAAAGTGGTGAGCCTCACAATTCTTTGGCCCTTGGAAAAATATACCCTGTCCCCCCCTTCAAAGGATTCTAGATCTGTCCTTTTTCATCTATCATGTAAAAATGTAATCTCAACCCATCATCAATATCACCCAGGCGCCATTCTGGTCTGCATACAAATAGAATATTTTCCAACATTTGATTTTGCATATATACAGTGTCTACTGACCAACGTGGTCAACGCGTTCTGATTCATGATTGACAGTAGACATGTCAAATGGATCTCAATTCACTTCATAGGCTGTATGTCCACTGAGATGTTTGTGTATAACGTGTGAAGCTCCAACTGAGGCAACTTATACATCAGGTTGTTCAACCCATCAGTCTTGAATCGGCTTTGTGCTTTCCTTAAAAACTGTCGACTGTAAAAGAGAAAGAGATTGAATGATTGACAGTGGTTGAAACCTTGGCTTATTTTAGAGCAATACATTATAGGGCTGGTGGTGCTCACAAGAGAACGTAAAGGCAAACCTGTGCCTTCATAGTATATTGGCAAATCTGCAAGATTTTAACACTTTCATTTTGACAAACTTTGGCAAACTGTGCAGTTTTGTGATGCCATGCCGAGTTCTCTGTTTCCAAAAAAAAAAAAAAAAAAAAGATGGCAAGGGGGAAAAGGAAGCAGACTGGAACAAAAAGCTGCTCTGTTTTGTAGGTCTTACATTTTAATCTGCGACATTGTTTATGCCCTTGTACATGCCACACATACAGAAAGAGGAAATTGCTGATAGTTGTGAGCAGTTTATCCCTCCCCGGCCCCACCTCTGAAGATTTGGAAGGATTTTGTCACGAACGATTCCTGATAATGCTATGTCAGCTAGAGCTTGAAATATTGTGCCAACTTTTCTTTGAAATGGACCAAAGGCACTCCTGCCTTACATTTTTTCACATAGCTGGATATTTGATCTGCCCTGTTTAGTACCAGGTCATGTGCAGAATGGGAATGTTTGTCTGGTGCTAGTTATTCACAATGGCCAGCTAATGGAGAAAGTTGGTACAAAACCATTGGTTCAATAGCACAATCCATATACATGTACATGCATCAACGATAGAGGCATACTGGGTGTGTGTCTACCAGTGCCACCATAGATACTGCAGCAACATGCACATGCACAGTGTGGCCAAAGAGCGGACGAATGAGGCTTTTCACTACACTACTGGAAACATCACACATTTTATATTTTTAGGGGAAATCTTTTGGGAAAAAAATTTAGAGGCGAAATTTAGTCGAATTTGTAGCATCCATGAAAAAATAAAAATCGTGCATTTCATGCTCTGTTTTTCTCCCCAACTTTCTCCAAGTAAATGAGTTATTTTAACATCAAAATGCCCATTCCCAGTAAGGAGGAAAGACCCACAAAGGTTTGGTAAACTATGGTTGGTGTGTTCTCTTGGCAGTTTCGGCAAATGGACAATGTAAATATAGCAATGACAAACAGGTACCACATGTTATCGATTGATTCAATGCTTGATATCGAATACATGTATCACAAATTCCAAACCTCTGTTTTTTCAATAGCTGAATGCTTCTTTCCATGATCAATGTCTCAGTGTGTCGAATATCAATACCTTGAGGAAGAATATTGCTTGAAAGTTTTGCTAAGATTAGGGATCAACGGATGATCGGATTGGAAATCAGATCGGGCCAATGTTTGGCAACATTGGCAAACATTGGATCAGCAGAATGTGACCTTCATTGCCGATATGAGTGCCGATGTCAACTTGAAGAAAGGAGCAAACTCTGCACTCAGTTTTGGCAAACACAGATCTTATATTATTATTTGAGCATGAATAAAACACTGGTTTTTTCATTTGGTGAGATAAATGAACAGTTATACCATAGTTACGCCCATTTGAAGTATCCCCAAAAATTACGTCTGCGTGATCCATGCTGCAACCACTCAACGCACAGACCATGGACCCAAGGAGCAGTCTGAATACATGTTTACCATTTCCATTGACTGCCGTGAAAAAAGCCGGGGAACTACACCATGTGTGGCACCACAAGGTGCTGTGTGACCAGTTTGAAGGTAGCCTGTGATTTAGCCTTTATTCAAGGCATGCGTGGCTACCTGGACAGAAGACGTGCACCACTGCCGTTGGCATGACAAAGACACCAACGTGAGTGGTGAAGCCACGAGCTGAGCATGGCGCACCGGTGCCATGCGCACCTTGATGAAAGGCTACCCATGATTCAGCCCGAGGTGCCGTGTGTCTATTCTGCATGTATGCACCGCGTGCGTTGGGTTTGAATACAACTGAGCACTATCGGTATCGTGCAAGCTCGTGAAAACTGGTCAAATATTCAGCCATCTTGTGTGAAATATCTGCCGACTGAACAGGAGTTCCACAGAGTTTGCTGCTTCCAGGAGTCCATACTGCAGCTTTTCGGACACAGTATGACTTCAGGAAAACTTTGGGTATTTTTACAACATTCGTTGTTTATTTTTATGACGGGTTTTGCCCTTACCCAACGTATGTATTGATAAACACTGTATGCTCAG